GCTTGTTAATACACATTAATAATACGACATTCTATCCAAAGTACACCAAAAGTAAAGCAAACAGCTATCTATTTATTATGGCTAATGGCTTCCACTTCACTTAAAGTACTAAAAAAACAGATTTATGAACAGGAAGAAATTTAATATCAGTTCCAGGTTGAAAAACAAGTTTTTGCATAATAGATTGCAAATTAGTAACTTCTTATGTTGTTTAATAAGTTACATACAATAAGTTTGTGAAAAAAAGATGTACGTATGTATTTTGCTATCGATGAATTTTGTGACACTGATAAAAAAGATTGTCTTCGCTAGCATATTTATATCGGCTTTTCTATGGAAAATAGTGCAAAGATGTCCTAAATCATCCAGGGTAAGAAAATGAAAAGAAAAAACAATTCTACTAGAATCCTTGAAAAAAACAGTCGAGAAAAGTTTGATGATTTATATAACAAAAGATGATATTCGATGTACAATAGATGCACTTAAACAGTCAAATGTGTTTAATTCTATTAATGTGAGGATATATTTTAGTCGATAGCAGGTAATCTTTTATCTTTATTTAATAATCCATTTCCATTGAATTAAATTTAGAAGAAAAGCAACAGAAAACATAATGAATAGTAAAATCGTAAAGAAATGATTCTAAAAATAATAAATATTTCGATTGTTTTTTTCTTTTGACAATTCACTTTTCTCTAGTTGATTATCTAAGTAGATTTCACTAGCCAACGGTTATCTAATACTTATGTGTTTTTGTGCGTTAATTTCATTCGTCGTAACACTGTTCTTTGTTGCTTTCTCTTTTTTCCGTTGTCTCTCTCTCTCTTAACACAGTAACGTGAGTTGGGAACACTTGTATCATATGTATTTGTATAGTAAACGTAATGAGCACCTGATAAGAACATTTTTGACATGGGCAGTTTACATTAGAATATTTTTAAGTGAATTACAAATGGAAATTTTTGTATGAGTAATTAGAATAAAAATTTCTTTTGCTGCATGCCAATAGAATTTTTTGCATGAATTGAATATACACTTTTTTAAACTAATGAACAGAATAAAAATATATCTAATTGTATTTTAACAGAATGGTCTTCATAAGAAATAGAGAGAAAGTCTTTGTATAAGCGAAAGAACCGAATCTTTTACTGCATGACAATAGAATTTTTATGTTTTGCCTAGGAATCAAGTTTAAAGTATTGAACACAATGACAATATTTTTCACTGCGTCTTAATAGAGTTTTCGTCGCACGTACTTAAATTACAAGCTTTTGTATAGATCAAGAGACTATTAAACTCTTGCTGTATGTATACAGAATATTTTTGTTTGAATTAAATATAGAATTTTTTAGAGCAATAAGCAGATTAAATAAAATTATTGAGTAGTTATAGAATAGTCTTCACAAGACATAGATAAGAAGCTTACATGAATGAATGATCGCGACCTTTTAATACATGCTTACAGAATTTTTGATAAGTGTTTTAGGAATAAAGTTTTTAAAAAAATAGAATAACATCTTTTTATCGTTTTCAAACTTTATCTACCATTTTTAGTATATAGATAGTTTTTTTCATCGCCCTATTCGTCGTATAAGGTGTTAGCAATATAACTAAATGAAATAATTTTAAGCAATAAAAGTTTAACGTTCGTTACCCCTAGTTACGCAATTACGACTATTTGTATTTTAGACTCTCTTTCCATTTGCTATTATAAGGCGACAAATTAGTAGCACATGAAATCCATTAAAAAATTAATCCACTGGGAGCAGCAGTAGAAAGTAATCGGTGAATAATTGAAGATATGAGTGTTATAAAATACATTGAAATTGTTTTCAATATTGAATACTAATTATTTTTTATTAGGAGATTTCTATGTGTACTCTCATAGTTATCAGAAAGAAAAACAACAAGAGAAAAAGAATTGTTACATATACATATATCTCTAAGTACAGTCGACTTCTAAAACAAAGTACATATACAGGAAATGAAAATAATATATGCATATCGAACAATCCTTTTTTCTTCTTGATAACTGTGAGAGTACACATAGAAATCTCCTAGTAAAAAAAATAACTAGTATTCAATATTGAAAAATTTTTTGTTCTTTTTAGCACTCGAATACTCATTTATTAACCCATGAAAGCGTAAGTTTTCAACGTGTTTAAATGTATGAAAAGTTTTCGATTTTTCGTGTTTAAACGCGTTCAATTTGAAAATACGTTTAAACACTTGTGTTCCACTCAGTATAACGAGTTCAAAGTCAAGAATAATTCAACTATTAAAACGCAAAAATTCGGACATTTGTTGAAAGAAAAAAATCCCTTAAAAGAAAACAAAATAACATTCATTATAAGTCGTTTTTAGCTTAATTTTGACTGCTAGAGTGCTACCATACATAGGAAACCTGGGAACTAATTAAAAAAATGCTGCCATCAGTGAAAATGTCAACAATATAAATTCCTGAGATATTTCATACTGAAAATTTTCCCAACGGTAACTAACAAATTTCGCACAGTCAACTCTGGTTCTGAAAGTAGTGTTCACCCTCACAGTTATTTACACACAGCCTTACTAATAATAATTCAATTTATCAGCTGATGGTTAAACCATGTTAGATCATGATTCTTCATTATCCACAAAACTGTGTCATTCACCAAAGCTAGCAGTTGCAGTCGTCATTTTACCTTTTCAATCTTAACTCAGTTCACTTTACCATAAAAAATATTTAGTTTTTCATCAAAAGTAATCGTTTATAATGACAACGACAAGCAAATAGGAGTGTATGACTAGGAAGATAGCAGTCTTAATAATCTATATAGCTTTTGATGCTCCTGTAGATCTTATGAACTCTCGGAATACCTTGTGAAGGTCTACTCACATCAGCCAAAGCCTTTAAAAAGTCTAGAAATCTTTGAATTTAATGTATTTAGTCGTATGTTCATTTGAAAAATTGACAAGAATTGACCTTAGATGTTGGTTTTTTAGCCATTAGTTAGTCGTATATTGGTCAAAATGAAACTTTTTTTATGATTTGATCAAACACATGATTTGTTTTCTGATTTTGAGTAGAAAACTCAGAAAAAAAAATGAACTGACATCGATAAATTGACGAAAATGTCAAAATTATAGTATGAAAAGCATAGATGATGTCTTTATGGCTTGCCTATCATATCATTTGATTTACTAACATAAATGAAATTTCTCTAAGATTGTAGAGAAAGAAATATTGAATATTTTTCATCACAGAAATTTTTATGTAAAATGCTTTTTTCACTCAGAAAGTTAGTTATAAATAAATTCAATTCTTCCATCTATGTACTATGTACTTATTCAATTACCCCATTTGGGGTCATTGCATAATTTTTTTCGTTATTTTCTATTTAGTAATTAGAAGATAACTTAGGAAAATTTGTTCTGAAAAATGGGAGATTGTATCACCATCTATACAAAACAATATGCTCTATTCATTTGTGCATGAATTACTACTTAATATTAATTAGTTAATGATAAAAGTTAATTTTAATTATACTGTGTAAAATACATGGATTTATCCAATTTCCCCATCGTTCTAACGAAATTATCCAATTGCCTCTTTTTTGATAATGTGAAAAAGTCATTGGGGGTAATTGGAAAAAAGATGGAAGATACGCACCTGTAAATGCAATTTAAAAAAATTTTTACACAGGTAGATAGAGTATTAGTCACTCTATCTGTATGCTATATCTTGGAAAAAAATAATTAGTTATAAAAAGATTATACCAATTATAAGTTAAAAAATAAAAAAATCTTTATTTAATTGCTCCATATTTTATTTATAAATATTACAAAAAAAACACATACTAATCAGGAAGAAAGTCCTTTTTAAAGCCAATATTTGATGATGTTGTTCGTTGTCGTAATTCATTATCATCTTGCGTTTGAATATCAGATGATCGACTAGCACGTATTGGTAATATTACATTATGTTCAATTGGAAGATTTTTTTCTTCTAATTGTAATTTTAAATCTTTTATTTCATTTTCCAATTCATGAACACGATTTTTAGATTGATTTAATGAATTTTCTAATGTTTCCATATTATTTGTTCTTGCAATAGCACCATGAGGCGATGGTCGAAGTGAACCCATCATAAATGGCAAATGTACTTCATATCGTGAATACATCAAAATAAGAACAATAACAATAAATAAAATCAAAAGAATAATAATTGGCCATAAAGCCATAGGTACATGAAGCATAGTACCAGCAAAAAATTGTGATAAACTTTCACCTATTGTACCTAGTGGTGTAACAAATAATTGAGCAAAAGTCATTGATATAGCCTTTTGGAAAAAAAATAAAAATAGTTAATATTTTTTTTTTAATAAATAGATGAGAACTTCACTTGAACAGGTGTAACTTGTGAATGAGGTGTAGCACGTAATGCTTTGTAATATTCCAAACATTCATTAGTTGGTACTTGAAAAAATCGACCAAAATTAGATTTAACAATATCCCATATACCCATTGATTGACCTTGACAATGTTTAGGTATTTTTTTCATAAGAACGTGATCAACTTTTGCTTGTGCTTCCTATAGAATAAATCGATTTCATTTTTATTCGATTTAAATTAATAAACAAACCTGATAAAGTGTATACCAATTTTGTATAACAGAAACAATAAATGTGACTATAAAGAAAGTTGTAAACCATCGACCACGACGAAGATGAATACGAATACTAATAAAACTTAGTGCTCCAATTGCACTCAGAACCAAAAGACTCTAGAATATAATCAACGACTAATCAGGAATAAAAAAAAAACTTTTTGGACATAAGCATCTGAATTATTTAGTATAAGTTCAACATGAATTAGTATTTTTATTTCAAATAGTGGCATTTCTTGGTTTCATCACTAATATCTGCTTCAAAAACAAAGAATGATAAATGTAACCTCAAAAATTGGACAATGACAAAGCTAGCGACTTGCAATATTCAGCAATCAAAAGCAAAGAGTTCCGAATGCCTTTTTTTGTTTTATATAATACAAGACAAACTTATTTTGAAACACATTATCTTCACAAATAATTCAGAAACATGCATAACAATGGTGTTTAGTTTCAAAGAATTCTCTCTAAAAAATATACTGAATTCGGTTCAATATCTACGCGATTTTGTTTGCTCAACTTTGTGATATGAAAATATAAACACCTGAATCATATGTTAAACTATAGATCTGAAGTTCTTCTATTCGAGTCACATGTCAAAATTAAAATTGCATCGAAGTAGAACATCGTTTTCATGCATTTTTTTTTTCTAATATTTTCAAAGGTAATGGATTTTGAAATAATTTCATCCTATACATTATTAGACAACGAGACATTCAAAGTTTACTCTCTTTTGATTGCTGTAAACCGCATGTCACTAGCTGCTGCTGTTGTTATTGTCGAGTTATTGAGCTTACAGCCACTTTTTTTTATAGTTTTGGTGTGGACATTGGTTTCGAATATATTATTAAAAAGGAAATCATAATTCAATAGATATACTCAAATTTGAATTTAATAAAAAAAAACATAGAAATTCAACTAAAGTTTTTATTTAAAATCTCTCGAAGTTCTGAATTGTTTTACTTTCTCTATGCATGAATAAAATTAAAAACATTGAATAATCCAAAAAGAAAATTTATTCAATGATCGTTTTTCTTCAAATTAAACTCATGTATATTACAAATTCTTTTGTGCATCTATTGAGAACTAATAAGAAAATATTCGAAAGTAGCGATGCAAATCGATGCATTGGTTAGCGAATGAATGTTTTCGACGTTTTTTGGAATATTTTTAGTTGCTTGAGATTTTGCAATGCAAAAAGGGAGAAAATGTTGGTAAAAATCTTAATGATAAGAAACTAGACAAATACATCCCTGAATATTAACCCTCGATGTGAAAACATTTCAAAAAATCTAATATTGATTGTTATGTCGTTTGTGGGCTCCTAGAGAATTGGTGGCGACGGTTCACAAGAGAAGCTCCCCAGTAGATTAATCGTTTTTGAGCCTGAACTTTGTGCATTATGTAGACCGAAATGAATTTTGAATATTCTGAAAAAGAGTTCTTGTCCTTAGCTTTTTTTGGCGGAGATGCTGCAAAGCTACAATGGTTTTAAATGAATATAGCACTCTCCCTCAGGAATTCTAGAAAAAGATGATTTTCGATTTGAAACTTTTTACAAAGGTACGCCTTAATGAGAATAGTTTATTGTTAAAATGTGAGGCCCTTTGATTTCCTTCCATCCGAAAGTAAGAATATTGAGTCTACCATTAAATATGAGCAACGCCATGTATCATACGAGAGGAAGAAATGCAAGATTTAAAACATTGGCAATACACTATTCTCGTTAAGGACTGTCTCTATACATAGTTTCAATTTGAAATTCGAACTTTTTTCTGGTGTTCTTGAGAGAAACCACAGCATCCATTAAAAAACAACCTTAAAATTACAGTATCTCGGAATCAAAAAACTAAGAGTTTGATCTGAAGATATCCCTCATCGACCGTTCAGCGTACACATCTATTTGGGAGTAATATATTGCTTCGAAAAACATAGATTTATCAGTAAATTAAGTACTATTAGATAAGATAAAATTCAAAGAATGCTTATACATTTTTTCCAATGTTGTTGGATCTTTTTTTCTAGAAGATCAAATTTTTAATTTTGCTATTTTACTCAAGAAAATTTCATTTCAATAAGATAAATATCTTCAAAAATCGAAAAGTTAATATTTCAATCAAACAAAAATATTATGATTAACTTTTGAATACTTACTTTAATTATCACATTAACATCAAATGATCGTAACCATACTGACCATGTTAAATTACTAAGTAATGGTTTATCTTCTTCTATTTTATTTACAATACGTTTGAGAAGATCAGTTATAACATGAACTTCATGAAGAACATCTTTCTAAAAGTATCTCTCATATTATATCAAAATAATGAAAATAATAAAAACAAACTTGTTCATAATGTGATGCTGATGCAAATTGTTTGAGTCGATCAAATTCATTAGGAGATAATTCAAGCAAAAGACGATATTCTTTAGCATTTTTTGACTAAAAATATGTAATCATTAGTATTAATTTGGATTGTGAAAAAAAAAAAACAAGATTTCATACAGGAAATTTTTCAATCCAATCTTTGATTACATGACGATATGCAGTGAGTACTGTTCGATATTCAGTTTTAAATGTTGATGGACATGTTTCATCATCTTTCTAAAATATTCAATTTATTAAAAAAGAAAAGAACAAATAAAGAAAACATACGACATTGAATACATGTTGTTGAACTGTTTCTTTTACTTTTGTTGATGCATAATCAACTTTTTTAGCAACTTGATCTTTAACATCATTGAACATATCAAATATATCTTGTGAATTAATGAAAAAAATTGTCACCAATAAATAAAAAATAATACACCGGGTTGTCAAATTGAAAAGCATATTTTAACGTTATTCGAAATTGAAATAAATTCCCAAAGATGTATAGCATTTGCGTGTAAACTGAGCAAATAAGGGTATGGATTGTTGATAAACTTATCGGATATATGTTCGATCGATGACGCTAGTTATTGATCCATAACAACAAAATATTTTTTTCTTAAAAACACTTGACTTCATCTTATAAATCTAAGAACTTTATTCGTATTTTTGATATAGTAACAAATAGCTTCGGGGAATTTTCTTATCACCATTTTTGTGTATGTTGGAATTTCTCTGTTGTTGTATTTCTGCGCATACATGTATATTTGCGATTGTTCCTGTTAGAGGTAACAGAAATCGTAGTTTATTTGTACTGCAGTTATAGAGTTTGAAGAAATTTAACGAGGAAACATTTTCGACTGATCAATTTCTTTCGGTGAAAAAACAATTAGCCAGTTGGAAAATTTTCCTCGTAAGTTCTATGTTTGTTCATAGTTTTTCGTTATTAATTTTTAACGAATCAAGATAAATGAAAACTTTAGTAATTGGGTATTCAAAATTGATTTTGTTTATCTTATCTTCACAATTTGATAAAGAATGGCTCAATCGCGCGTGCTTGAATTCGAACAAAATATAATACGGATTTAAAATGAATTTTTTGAATTGTAAGTTTCAGATAAAATAATCGGAATGAACAAAGGAATGTTCAAAAATATTAGCAAAAGATATTTCTAGTAATTTCAAGTAGTTAACTTCTTGATATATTTTTAATACATATTATTTAATAGTACAAAAGCATCTAAGGCAAATATCTGTGGTAAACTAGTGTTAAAGTTCTTTTTCAAATATTTCCATTATTTGAAAACTCTAAACTAAGAATTATTATTACAAATGTTTTTACAACGTAAACTCTCCAACTGGTAAATCGCTTTTTCATCGAGTCTATATGCATTATCTAGATCCAAATGAGCTATGAATACCTTGAAAAGAGTTCTTGCTCTGAGTTTATTGCTACGAATATACTACAAGTTAACGGTATTTTTTATAATACGTATCGTAGTCTCCCTCAGGAACATGAGAAAAGAATGATTTTCGAATTTCGACTTGCAACTTTGAAGAGAGACAGGTCTTAAAGAGACTAGTTTATTATGAAAGTTTGAAATCTTTTGATTAGCCTCTATTCTGAAATAAGAACATCAACTCTGCCGGTTGATATGAGCAGTATTAACAACAGGCTATCACCACGGTTGTATATTAAGATAGAAACAATGGCTAGAGAGCTGTGTGTCTATGTTTCTGTGGAGTTGGATTCGAATCTTGTTCGGCTTCAGACCTGAGTTTTGTTTCACCCATATTTAGTACTATTTATGTATACAACCAACTGAAGAATCAAAGTATTAAGTTATTTATTGGCTACTCTCACAAATAAATTCAACGTACAATCATTTCTTGTTGCTCATTTTCTCATCACTCGATGATAAATAAATTAATAGTTTTCGCTTAGTTGAAAAATCATTGTTATGGCACGTACGTAAAAAATGTGATAAGACAAATGCTGCTAGTGTGTTATCTTGTGTTGATGTAATAACTCCTGTATTTTTCCAACTTTATTATCTTATCTACTGGTATATTCTCCTGTTTTCTCTAACATCCGATACATATATATCTACTCGTTGTTTTGTATGAGGTAAATCGACCTATCTAGTCTAGTAAGATCTAGTCTGTTTTAACATCATAAACTATATACACAACAACATACATCAGACATTACGAGCATTATGTTAACAAAAAACACAAATTGAACAATCAATGGACAAACGAAATTTGTCGTTAAAAATCGCTAAACCAACAGTAACATCGAAATCTTCATCTGCATTGAATAGTTTTAGTTGTATTTATGTAAATGAGATCACAAAAGTAGGAGCTGTAGTCTAGACCATGCTCGAGTCTAAAAGGACTCGCAACTCTCTAACAGCGACAATATTTGAAATATTCACAAAAAAAAAGATCTATTCTCGTTAAGATCTGTCTCAATACAAAGATTTAAACTCGAACTTCGAAAAAACATTTTTCTTGATGTTCCTATGAGCGACCGCAGCATTCATTGAAAAAATACCGTTTAATTACAGTATACATCATGCACAAATTCATGACCTAAAAGAGATTCATCAATTGGAGAACTCTCCTTGTTAGTTAAGAAAAACAGAAGAGCTTTTTTATTTAATAACCAATTTCAAAAGCTCGTTTAACAAAATTTATCAGTTAACAAATAGAATAATTTCCAATTAATAAAATCTAGATTCTGTTCAGTTTTACAACAAAAATAGAATATTTCCGAAAATTTAGTAAAACAATTAATGACTAATAAATATGATGAATATGCAAAAGTACAAGCATTACAATCAATGAAAAAACACAGCGATCTTGTGGCGCACTCTTTTTATTTTCACAAATAATAGATGCTTCGTTATATTTATTCTTCTTATTTTACACCTTATCACACACTAACACGTGAATATCAAATTGTGAAACAAAAACAATATTATTTATTATAGACTTTATGTAAGTAAGGAATAAAACAAGAAAATTCAAATGAAGAAACAGATGATTCTGTTTTTTTTTTGTTTCTTAAAGTTTTGATTTTTAAATCAATATGAGTTTTAATACAAATCAAGCCGCACAAACTGCAAATTATGCTGGACAAGCAATGAATGCATTTCAAACAGCTGTGGCTATTGATGATCAACAAGCAAAACCTGAAGGAACAACATTTTGGTTTCGTTGGCTTATTCGAATAGTTGCTATTGTTACTGGCATCCGTAATTTTTTTTTTTCAACAATCAATTTTTAGTTAAAACTCTACTCTTCTTTTTTTCTTCTAGTTGCAATGATTTGTGGCGTTTTTGCTGCAATTAGCGTAACGCCTTCATGTATAGCAGCTGGGGTTATAATGATGTTTGTTAATTGTTTTTTCTATTTCGTAAATTACATTGTGAATTTTGTTTTCATATATGTTTCTTTTAGTTTTCTTGGCTTCTCAATGATTATGTTTGAAGTACCAATTTGTTGTACATTTGTTTCATATACACAACCAGTTGCAAGATTTTCGGAAAAACGTCCACCTTGGCAAAAAGCTATTTTATATTCAATGTTAGTTGATTAAAATAACAAAATGAAAGAAATTTTAAAAACATGTGATGTATATTTTGATATGAACGAAACAATTTTCAATCATATCTAACGAATAAATCAGAGAGGAATCTTAGTCATTTTGAGACAAGAGAAAATCCAAAAAGTATTCCTACCTATATGTTTTTCTTCTTGAATTATAGGATTATTAAAAAACAAGATGTTCTAGTCTTCTTCAGATCACTTTCAAACTTTTCATAAATCTAGTTTATTATGAAAGTATTAAGTTTTTTAGTACTCTCTATTCTCTGATAAAGATATTAGAATAAATTTTTCTTTTTTTTCAAAAAACAAAATTTTCATTATTGATAGCTGAGAATAGGAGTAGTGGCGTAGCCAGAAGATCATAAGTGGTAGAGCAATGTTTTATCATTTTCGAAGAAATCCATTAAATATAGTATCAATGAGAATAATTATTAATCTTTTCTTTTGGTGGCAGGGCAACACGTGGTCTAGCCATCTTTGCTTACGCCACTAAATAGGATATCATAGAAAATCTGATTTATTCAGAATGAACTAATATTATTGAGAACTTTATTTTTGATACAGTTCGAACTCGACAGTCGATTTTGAAGATGATCTGAAGAACTATTTATTGTCACGCAAGCTTTTAGGTATTCTGTAGTCACAATAAAAGCTACCGAATGAGATAAGATCAAGAGAGAATTGTATTTCATTGCTAGGCAGACTTAACTAAAGTATACTCAAACTAATCTGTTCGTGACACACGTTGATAGTAGATTTGAAATATAGTTAAGAATTTTTAATGAACAGCTTAGGCATTAACTTGCAGTATGGAAATTCCGTTTTTATCCTCTTTGAGTAAGACTTAGTTATTTAGTAATCGAAATATATATTGACAGGCAATTTTTTTCGAGGTTTTCTTCTAGAAAGATTTTGTTTTGATATGAAAAGAACTTCACTCATGTCTATTTACATCAAAAATTCGACTGGCACGCACCAAGTCCGAACATTAGGGGTTCGGTCTTAGCTGCGGTCATCTTTAGTTAATTGATAGAAGAAAGTAAGTAAGCCAAAAGAAAGAATTTTAGACTTTTCTATGGTAGATTTACACACAGTGAGATAAATAATTTAAAAAACGAAGGTTTGCATGAATCTTTAAAAAGTCAATAATGTTTAAGAGAATGCTCGAACTCGAAACTAACTGAACCTTCGCATGCTTTCATGACTGTCCATATACTTCAGGAAACGCTTGGAGAATTATCCAAATATCTGACATTTTTTTGAACTGTTTGGATAGTATTCGAACAGTGAGTCTTAGTTCGAATGCGATGTATGTCTAAATGATGTTGAAATTCTGCTTTAGACATATATAAATAACGCTATAGCTTTTTTAATAAATATTAACTGTATGTAAAAATTTCGAATTATTTGTTTAACTACCATAGATTTTAAAAAGAAGTAAGAAAAGTAAATTTGATCTCTTTTATATGATTTAGACCACCACTTCTACCACTTGCTCTATGTCAATCGATAAGCATTGTATTAGGTTTTATTTGTTTACTCGTTAATGGTGCAATTCAATTCATGTTAGCTGTTGGCAAAAAGTAATTCAAATTGCTCATTTTATCAAGTTCGGTCATTTATTTTTTTTTCTTCCTTTTAGAGCATCAAGAGAAGAAATGTTGCAACGAGCTGGTACAAGTACTGAGAGTCGTGGACCACCTGTACCTGATGGTCCTCAAATAAATGCTGCAGGTGATAAAGGTTTTTCATTCACTCAACTAAATTAAAAAATCTAACAAATGCCAGTGATGACAATTATTCCACTTGTATTTTTCTTTTTTATCATCATAATTAAACGTTATTAAATATTTGTCTCTTTTCTTCTACTCATCTTTTTTTTTCTGTAAAATCAAATTGAACTAACACCATTTATGATATACTTATTGTTATTATGAATTAATGGTTAGGACTTGTTTTATTGTTATCGTAACGTATTACTCTCGTTAATCATAATTTTTCTTCGTTTTATTTATTCTCGTGTATTTTAAAGCTTCTTCTTGGTGATTTTCGAACAAAATTTTTATAGAAAACAAAAATTGAACAACAAGATTATATTGAAGTTTATAAAAGTAAAGAGACCTAGATGGGCCATTTTAAGTACAACAGAACATGAACATCTTTCATTTGACTTTGATTCTTTAGCAGATTTATTTTTGTCAATAAATTCTATTAGCATACACATATGTAAAAATTTTGTCTCTTTCAGCTGCTAATTATTAATTTAAAAATAATGAGTAAATATTTCTCTAACCGTATGAGAAAAAGATCCGAAATAAAAACTTTTATCTGACCATCGTCTAAAGATTCTGAAAAAAAGATTTCTACCGTTTAAAATTGATTTTGAATATCTCATTCGGTTATAAGACAATTTTTTTGTATTTACATTAGTAGTCGGTTATGTCACTAACGAAAAGCAAATCGTTTTTTTTTTGAGCAGTTTAGACAAAGTAAGAAAAAACGTTGGGTATAAGTTTTGTAGTCTCAGAAGTTATTGATAACTCCTCTAAACAAAGATTACTAGCGTTAATTTTTCAGGTTATCTAAAGTAACTTAACACATAAAAATTAGCAGTAGAAAAGTTCATATTACTGAGATACATGTGTTTCAAGTTTAAATAGTCACGTCGCTAAAGAATAATTATACTTATACAAGGAATTTAATTTTTTTAACATGATTCATAATTTTAAATAAAATTCTTCTGATTTGCGTGGTAATGTGTATAACTTTGAAGAGTTCTTCAAATCTAAAAAGTATTTGAACAGAAAGAAAGTCAATTATTGTGAGTTGAATGAATATTTTTCTTTCAACTGAATTACGAAAAGAAAATAATTCTCTTCGAAAAATAGAATGTAATATCAAACTTTCCATAATGGTTTAATTTATTCTTAAAAATATATTTTGTATAGGATAAAAATTATAGTTAAAATACAAGGTACTCTAAAATTCACTACATGGATTGTTTTGTTATTTTTACTTTTTATTTCTTAATGTACATCATTTTATTGTTGTTTAAACAAGTAAAGCAATACAGCAAACAGTTCTTTTATGAATATGATAGATACAAGGCATAAAAAGAATGTTTTTTTCGACATACATCACGTTTTACATATTGCAAATAATATATTCTCAATCTGTTTAGAAATAATATTGATATTTATTACTGAATATAATTTAATAGTTAGAATTTAGTACAGCATTGTAAACAAATACTTTTTAAATATTTTCTCACTTTATGATTATATAAATATAAGTCAATAATGTTGATTAACAAGGCTAATTCACACCAAATTGTAGAAACTCCATATAGTAATATATTAACATATGTAAAATGATTAACAATTGGTAATATAGATGTTGGAGCCCATCCTGTAACAAATACACAAAACATTAAAATTATATGTCGCAATAAATAAATATCACGACGACTAATTTTTATTTGTTGAACATTATGAAAAATAGTTTGTGGTTGAATACGACGAGATGAAGATCGAACATGATAATAGATAAGGATATTTGTAATAAGATAAATAGTCGATGGAATTATCATCACACTTATCAAGGCATAAACTTTTGGCCATAGAAAATCTCCCTTTGGCTAAAGTATCATTCAAATATAAATGAATTTATACAAATACATAAGAAAATCTTACCAAATAAATGCGTACAAAATCTGGTGTAGATAAAATAAATCCCAATAACCATTGACTTCCGATACAAAGCATAATCCATCGTTTTGTTTTAAAAAAGACCTTCGTATGATAAACTATTGAACAACAACGATGAATCGATGCTGCCAGAAAACTAAATGGTACTTGAATAGTAAATATCATTGCTGTAATGTAGAAAAAAAAATTCATTTTTCCAAGAGTTGTATATGGATCATCAATCGTGATCGTTGCATGAATAAAAAGCCAAGATAAACAACATAATATTGTTACCAAACATATATTTAGTGTAAGTATGTTATTATGTTGATGAAAACGACGAATAAATATGATTGGAATTGAATAAATAAATGCAAAAAGTATAATGATGATAAAAATAACAACACCAATAATAGGAAAGATACGCAATGAATTTACCATTGCTTATAATGAAATAAAATGATGAAAAGAAAAGAAAATTTTTTATTGATATAGTTAAATTTGTTTTTTATTTTGAAAATTTAATAAGAAATAAAATAGAAAAGTGTCAGTGCAATTACTGCGAGATTAAAATGTGGCAAACGATGTAGTTGCTGTTGGTAATCACAGGAAGATTATTTGATTCTCTCTATTTTGGGATACATTTCTTCTCCAGAAATGCAATAAACAAGTAGTTCATATATTATAGCGAGATTTTATTGATATACGGTCTGTCGTCGTATATCAACTACATTTGTTACAGTCTGTGATAAAGAAAAGACGTTCCTAAGGATGTCTGTCATGTTTATGGCAACGGATGGGGTCGAAATACTCTCTTCCGTATTTCAACACTCCTTTTAGACTATGTTTCATACCAATAGGATAATTATCGTGAGCCGATTAGTTATCATTTAGGCTTTTTTCGCCCCTGAAAACCGCCATGATTGAGTGTCTATATTGTTCGACACGTACCTACAAGGCACTGTCTGAGTCTCAATACCACCAACCATAGAATAACTCTGACCAAGACATTAACGACTATTTGTCTCGGATCGTCCATCCAATAGCATGCTGATTATGTCGTGACATACAATTGTTTTTGGGGTTAGCTAGTGTGTATGCGAAACTGAAGCAGTTCAGCCTACGAACTTTGCGTGAACCCAGTCTTTTTTCCAGAACTACAGCCAGTATTTATTGTAGGGAAGATATCAGGTTATTGAATCTTATGCAAGATAGCTGAAATGTTGTGATATTCTTCCTTCGTCTTTATAGTTACATCGTTCTCTCAAAAACAGTTCATTTTCCTCAGATTAATCGAAGTTATGATAAATACATTAGAGAGTAGCTTTATGTCGGATCTTTTTCCTATTTAACACATTGTTTTTTCCAAAAATTTCTAATGATCCCCGTCATCTTCTACTTGAAAAATATCCTCTTTTTGAGAAAAAGTGATGAATCTTATTCGGTTTTTCTCATCGTGCATCTCACAATTTTCGATGGTGCTTTATCATAGCCAAATTTCTCTTTGTTTTTCATTTGAAAAAGAACGTCAAGTTCCGGTACATAACGAGCTCGCTTTTTGAATTAAACCTTTTTCCTTCATATTATATAAAATTCACTTCTATAAACAGATGAATAGTTTTTCGAGGTATTACACTGGTCATCCTTTTTTTCACATAAAAAAACAGGACTCCGTTAGGTACCGCTGTCTTGCATGGTCTTTCAAATGACATAATTAAATATATAGAATAAGAATCCATAGAGAATTTCCAATTGCCACAAGAACTACATTTGACTCTTATATGATGATTATGTTCCATACTCTTGAAAAGAAGGCTATTAATAAGTTGCTTATTCAGAATTTACCTTAATGTTCATCTTTATTAATAAAAAATAATAGTATGAAGACTAGTATATGTTAGTTATGTTATTTTGACAATATTTTAGATTGACATTAGAGTAATTCTTTTCCAACAATGATTAGCTACGTGTTAGGTAGATCGAACGTTCGACGTGACATAGATTCGCATATTTCTTTGCAAAAACTAATTAAGAATAACGTGACTGATTACATTACTTGTTTAGAAATTACAGTGAACTACGTCTTATTAAGGAGTTTATTTTCCTCATTAAGACGATTTAATATAGAGACGAACAAATTTCAATGAGTTTTTGTGTAAAATAATTTTAAAAATACAATGTCATTAATTTCTGACATATAGCTATGTACAAATAAAGACAAGCATAAATCTTCTCTTCTAGAATTTTCATACATAGTTCTGTTGAGTACATGTATATAAACATAATAGAATGTCACCATGGATCTTCTCTAGTGACCACGATTCATACAATTTGAGAGTCTTTTTGTTTGAAAGCATATATTTGACAGTTTTATGAACAGTCGAAAATTTCTATAGGGTACGTAAACATGTGTTTGTTTTACAGGTGAACCTAAGAGAAAATTTTTAATTCAATAATTTCCTAACGGAACCATTGCTTCCGTTTTTTTGTATAGAAAAAAAATGTGGAAAACCACTTTTTCAAATGGAAAATATTTTACAAATCAATAGAATAGAAATTCTAATTTCGGATTATACGCAATTTGTTAGTCCATTGTGCTTAACTTTTCTAAAAAAACACGAATTTTTTGTACCAAGGTCAACCAAAAAAAACAATCTTCTACTTATGTGATTTAAGCTTTTTCATCATGAAATATTTCGCTTCATTAACCAAAGCATATTTTACATTATTCAAACAACCAATAATCTCGCATGATGTCCACTATGCTATTCAGATTTTATCTACAAAGTTTCTTCGATTTCTTTTTTGTATATGGTCAATTAGGCCTCATATTTATACCGAATATATTGGGTAATACTAGTCAAAAATATACCATATGCTCAGTTTTTGGATGTAATAATTTGTTCAAAAGCATACAAATATATCTTATTGTTCGTTTGTGCCTGTAAGAGAAATTCAATATTCCTCGAGTTCCATCGTTCTGTCTACTTATACCGACCTGTGAAATGAAATTCATATAATTAATTTTGATCCCTTTTAGGCTAAATCAATACAAAATGTAATTAAATTGGATTCATTTCATTGATCGACATAAGCAGAAAAAAAAACTATAGAAATCGAAAAACATCAAATTTCTCTTACAGTCACAAATGAACAATAAGTTATATTTGTATGCTTCTAAACTAATTGTTGCACTCAAACTTCTATGTTCCCTTACTTCTAGACCATTCTGTATATTGAATATCTTTTTTACTGCATGAAAGTCAAATTATCTATGTGCTGTTTTCATATCATCGTAGAATATAAAATTAATTTAACTTATTATTTTACAAAATATTTCATATGATCGTTTATTATTTTTTTTTCTTTTTATTCTTTCTTAAATCTCTCAAATATCAAGTTGGTAACGAATGAGAGAGAAATAGAAAAAAAAACAAATATAAATAGTCAATCGAAAAGAAAAAAAAAAACATTTATGTTTTTTTATTTCGATTTTTGACTAGCTGCCTGTGGTTGTGTTGTTGTTTCTGTTGGTCCAGTTACTTTCTTTGATTTCATAACCATAGCAACTATACGTTGTTCTTCTATAAGAAAAGCTCGAACAATACTAAAAATAAAATAAATATTTCTTTTTTTTTTCAAAATTTATTCCTTATAGTTTTTTTTCTTACCGAAGTCGAACACATTTGGCACATCGGGAACCTCCATAAGTACGTGATACAGTTTTCAATCGTTTAGTCATTGTCATACGTCGTTTTGGACGAGATGCCTTAATCTGAAGAATACAAAAAAAACTAATTAAATAGTTTCAATAATAAATAAAACTTACTCCTGGTAATTCAACTTTACAATCACCACATTTTGGCACTGTTCCTCGTTTTTTTACATATTGATATGTCAATTTACCTCCGGGTGTCTTAACACTAAAAATAAATAGATTTTTCGTCTTGAAATAAAATAAAGAAACAAAAACGAAATAGAATTTAACATACACTTTAACCCGATTCGATTTGGTGTTATATGATAAACGACGACGATAAGTTAATCGTTGAACCATTTTGATTAACTATTTTCTTGTGTATTAAACAGAAATGATCTTAAAAGAAAGAGATTAAAATAAATCTATAGTTCTATTACAACGATGAATAGCTTTCTAAAAATCAATGAAAAGAATAAATAAACATATAGGTACCTATAGATTTCGATTGGTTAATTTTTAATATCGAATCAAAATATGATGCAAACCATCGAACCTCGCTCAAAGTGCATTTGTGTGTTAATAAATTCTCTTCAAAGGATGTTACCAAGTCATATATATCACCAATGGAAAAGCTCAATGTCTTACGTCTGATGATGAGCTAGTAGTATTAATGCGCTTGAGATGCTTTGCGTGACCCGCTGATTTTCTACCTCTTGAAAATTTCTTTCTTTTTCTTATTCATTAATACTTTGTCGATTATTCTGCATGTTTATTTGTTCGACAACTGTGTTGGTTATGAAAAACAACAGGAGCAATTTTTTTAATAAAATTGATAACACTAAATATTGAAGTGATCGTTATTGAATTTTTTTTTGCATAAACTTTTAGAACACATGAGTTGTGAGAATATGATGCTTGATGCAAGTCTTGAACGACGATAAAAGATACTACTCACAATGAAAAAATGTCGGTCCTGATGGGATCGGGACTATCTTGCTCATGTTTACTTGTAACGAATGTATTACCATACACGAAAAAGAGCAATAATAATTATTTTCTTATTTGAAATATACATATAATGATAAAAATTCAATCAGAGAAGTATTTCTTAAATCTAGTCAGATGAATATGTGTACATTTTTGTGATTATCTGCATGAGTGCGTATGTAGGAAAAAGTACTTTTTACACACTCACGCTCACACTGTTCCATTCGAATATATTTTGAACAATCATTTTAGATTTGACTTTTTAATGAATAAAAAAATTATTCTTGTGTTATCGTCACTGATGTAGTCTCCCTTGGACAAAAAAAAACAGCCTTTTTCCATTTCATTTTTGCATCACTTAATAAGTTGTTTTAGAAAAACAAAATATACCAGGAGATGCAGCGTGAAAGGAACTACAATGTGCAAAGTAAAGCTTATTTTAATTTTGTACTGTTTGTTTTCAAAAGAAGCAAAATTGTGTGCGACCAATTTTCGACGTTGGGAAAAAATCATTTTTTTCTATGCGAACGAAAAACTCCTTTTTCCTTATTTCATCTTTTTATCAACTAATATGTTTTTGTAAAAAAAAAAAAAATATACCACAATATGCAACGTGAAAAGCTCTACAATTTACGCAGAACAGT